ACAACTCACAGCACCTGCAGCTCAGAGCACCCACAGCTCACAGCACCCACAGCTCAGAGCACCCACAGCTCACGATACCCGCAGCTCAGAGCACCCACAGCTCGGGGCACCCACAGCTCACGGCACCCGCAGCTCACGACACCCGCAGCTCACGACACCCGCAGGTCACGGCACCCGCAGCTCAGAGCACCCACAGCTCGGGGCACCCGCAGCTCACGGCACCCGCAGCTCACGACACCCGCAGCTCAGAGCACCCACAGCTCACGACACCCACAGCTCACGACACCCGCAGCTCAGAGCACCCACAACTCACGGCACCCGCAGCTCAGGGCACCCGCAGCTCAGGGCACCCGCAGTTCACGGCACCCACAGCTCACAGCACCCACAGCTCACGGCACCCGCAGCTCAGAGCACCCGCAGCTCACGACACCCGCAGCTCAGGGCACCCACAGCTCACGGCACCCACAGCTCACGGCACCCGCAGCTCAGAGTACCCACAGATCACAGCACCTGCAGCTCAGGGCACCCGAAGCCCACAGCACCCATAGCTCATGGCACCTGCAGCCCACAGTTCTTCAGAGCAGTAACAGATACCGGCATGGGTGTTCGTGCAGTGGGCAGCTCAGGGCGCGCTTGGCTGAGGGAGCCGTGCTTGCTTGCTTTGTCATGAGGTCGCATTTAATAAGCAAGCCCAGGACATCTCCTTCCACCTGCACACCTGGGGGTGGGAAAGGGTCTTCCGCAGACCCCACTCTCTCCAGTAGCTTGGGGACTCCGCGCAGGCACATGGGGGTGCAAGTCAGCCATACGCTTGCATTGCGCTTAATTTCATTTGTGTTTCCCGGAGAGTCCAGTCAGGCAATGCTGAGGGTGGATACCAGTGGTCAGAGGAAATTATAATCCAGGCATCTCCTCCCTGAGGACCGGGCAGGGATGTCAGCACCCTGCAGAGACCCAGCGGCCTGGGCATGGGTTTTGGAGCTTGCAGGGCAAACCTGAGAGCTGCCCTTGCCCTTCAGTAGGGTTTCGGGGGGCGAGTGGCAGGCAGCATCCCTCCAGGACTTCCCTCTGGGGCGTCTTCAAGGTCAGAGGAGTGGCATGGCCAGCGCCCCCACTCTGTGGGCTCACTGAAGCCTCCTGGTTCCCTGCCGAGGTAGGCAGTCTTGCTCCCATCCTGTAGATGAGGCAACTGAGGTTCACAGAGGTTCCACGGCCTGCCAGGACTGCACAGAGGCAGAGCCTCCTACCCGTCCAGCCCAAGGTTGGCGCTTCTAACCTGGGAGCCCGGCCATGTGCACCTGGGGCCAAGGCTGGGCAGCTTGCCAGGCCACCCTCCAGGCTTGGGTCCTGGGCCACCGAACCACAGGGTCTGGGGACACCAGCAAGAGCCCCCAGGTGCTGAGATTGGCTTTGGCGGACCCTTACCCTAAGTGTGAGCAGCACCAGCTCATGGCCACTCCTGTGAAGCTCCATACCTCTTTCCCCACACTGCGAGCAATCACAGCCCTGGGGCTGTGGGGAGGGGCACCGCATGGCGTGTGCTCTGTCTGTGCCCAGGTGCTGAGCGTCTGTCTGGCGTCATCAGACCCTGGCTCCTCTGCTCTCAGGCAGAGCGGCAGCTTCCAGCCGAGAGCAAATGCCTCTGTGCCCATGCCCAGGGAGGACTCTCGGGTGAGGTGGGAGCTCAGCAGGGCTTCGGGGCCACTGTGTGCATTTGGTGGGACCAGAGGACGTGCAGGAGGGGAAGGAGACCGAGGGACCCAGGCACCAAGAAGGTTCTGGAAGGCCGCGGAAACATGCGTACAATATAATAATTTTCTGCATGATCATCCCCTCCCTCCCCCAGGTCTTTGGTTTGTTTTATTTTCATGGCTCACTTGAAAAATGACCTGCTTTGTGCCTGACACCGGGTCAGAGGCCGTGCCACCGGCCACATTCATCATCGTAAGCAGCGTGTCATCCTGACAGTGCTGACCATTAGTTTCTGTCAGTGACGAAGTCACAGCTGGGCCAAGGAGAGATGAGTTTCGGTTCAGAGGTCAGAGCCACAGGACTTGGGAATTGGATGAATTAGAAATTTGCTGTAGTTAACAAAAAATTAAATCACAATAGTTATAAAATATTCATCCATCCGGGCCAAAGGAAAATGAAGCCCGATATTTAATTTCAGATTATATCACCTCACTTTGCATTTTTTATCATAGATTAGGTCGGCCCCGGAACTTTGACAGGGCACTTGGGGACTTCATCCATTTCCACAGATTAAAAATCCTCTCGTAAAAAAATTAATTGCCATTAAACTGCTCAGTGGAAGAAAAAATGTGCCCACCAGGACCCATTTATCGAGCGGGACCCTCTGGCGGGCTAATGGGGAAGCGAGCAGCCAGCAGTGCAGGGGCCGGGCGGGCAGGCGGGCAGGCCCTCCCCAGGTGGGTCCCTGGCCCAGCACCCCAGCAAGGGAGCCTGGCTGGCTTTGTGTGGGAGAGCAGCTGTAGTGACAAGGATGGAGAAACCTCACCGGGGCTCCCCTCCACACCGGGTCCCCCACCCTGAAACCTAGCCGTGGGCATTTGGGTCATGCTGGCCTCAGCTCCAGCCTTTGACACCACCCTGAGCCAGCGGAATCCTGACCCCCTTCCAGGCCCAACCCCAACAATGATCGTCACTACCTCCGTGTGGCCCTGTGGGAGGTGCTATGAGATATGCACCCCATTTTACAGAGGGGGAAACTGAGGCATAGGTAAGTTACATCACTTGCCTGAGGCCCCTGGCTGGTGAGTGGCCGAGCCAGACTTCAACCCAGCTCTGGGACTCCTGAGACCACGTCCTAAACCTTCCTCTACCTTGTGGTCCTTAAGGCTATACCTAGACGGGGTATAGCCTTAAGGGGTTCCCACCCTAAAGTGGGCATGGGCGTGAGGTGTGGCCTGGGGTCCTGTCTTGGAAATAGCGTGGCCATAGGGAGCCTGTCCTTGGAGATGTGGCTCTGGGAGGGCATGGCCTGGTGGGGGTGACGGCACAGCCCACTCCCCTTCCTGGAGAGGTAGCTTCAGGCCTGTGGCTGGTGGCCAGGGGGCAGGGCAGTGCAGGGAGGGTGCCGTGGCTGGCGGGGGGCTAGGGAAGTCCCTGACTCAGTCCAGGAGCCTGCCCCTGGGTGCTCAGCTCTCTGGATGGTCCCTGCCCAAAGCACCCTCATTTGGCAGAAAGTCTCCCTTCCCGGGGGACAGGACGAGCCCTGGCTGATACTTCATGGTGGTCTCGACCCGAGGCCACGTGGTGGAACCGCCCTGGGCTGGGCCTTAGGAAGGGGCGTAGGGGCCAGCGATCCATAGCACATGTGGTCTTGGCCCTGTGGAACCAGCTGGAATAAGCAGCATGTGTGTGTGTGTGTGAGAGCGTGCATGTGTGTGTGTGTGAGAGCGTGCATGTGTGTGAGAGTGTGTGTATGTGAGAGCACATGTGAGGGTGTGTATATATGAGCATGTGTGTATGTTTGTGTGTATGCGAGAGCACGTGAGGGCATGTGTGTATGAGTGTGAGTGTTTGTGTGTGTGAGTCTGAGAGCATATGAGACTGAGTGTGGTAGCGTGTGTGAGAGTGAGCAGGTTCAGAACACGTGTGTCTGTAAGTGTGTGAGCATGAGACCATGTGTGAGCACGTGTCAGCATGTGTGCAAGTGTGTGCACATGTGTGAATGCATGAATGTGTGAGCGTGCCAGAGCATGTGACTGTGTAAGCATACGTGACAGCACATGTGAGAGCATGTGTGTGACAGTGTGTGAGCATGAGAGTGAGTGTGCCAGTGCCTGCCAGCATTCGTTGTGTGCGAGCCTGTGAGCACGTGAGTGTGAAGGTGTATGATGGCATATCTGTGAGTGTGAGAGCCTGTGAGCACGTGAGGGAGCTGTGAGCATGTGTGTGAGAGTGTGTGATCATGAAAGTGTGTGTGATGGCATATGTGTGTGTGAGCCTGTGAATACATGGAGTTGTGGCATGTGTATAAGCGCCTGTGTGAGAGCACGTGTGAGAGTGTGTGAGCGTGTGTATGAGAACGTGAGTGTGTGAGAGCGTGTGTGATAGTATGTAAGAATGTGTGTGTATGTGTGAGAGCATGTGTGTGACCATGTGTGAGAGCATGTGTGAGAGCACGTGTGTGAGAGCACGTGTGTGAGAGCGTGTGAGCACGTGTGAGCGTGTGTGAGAGCGTGTGAGCATGTGAGTGCGTGTGAGTGTGAAAGCATGTGAGTCAGGGCCCGCCCTGCTTCAACCTTTGCCGGGGCCCTCGGTGGGGGGCCTGTGGGCCTGGTGGGTCTGGTGTTGGCACAGGTGACGGTGAGCTGGGCTAGGAAGTGCCACCTTGATGAGCAGTGCCCGCCGCGTGATGGCATTGGTGGGTGAAGGCTCACCTGTACTCGGGATGTGGGGCTGTTTGTGGCTGCAATGACCAGGACCCCCTGTCCTGCCAGCCGGGAGCCTTCACCGCTGCCCACCTGTGTGACCACCGACTCTGCTGGCTTGAAAGTGGATGAATCTCCTGTGGCTCGACTCATGTGGCCCGCGGCGATGGGACCTCCCGTGCTGCGTACGGAGCCTGGCTGAGGGGCCGAGGGGCCGAGGGGCCGAGGGCCGGTGTTGTCACTCCTGTGGCCGCTGCTGCTCCCGTTTCTTTCGCATGCTGCAGGCCTGGCCTGTGCTGAGAGCTTTGTCAGCAGGGCTGTGGGGGCAGGCTCTGTCTTCCCGGCTTTGCTGAAGACGACTCTGAGGGTCAGGGAAGCCACTTGCTTGTGGCTGCCCTGAGACTCAGCCTTGCCCCGTACTGGCTGAGGGTCTCACTCTGCCCAACAGAAGCCTAGACGTGAGGGATTCCCCCTCCCCCGCTGTGCCCTCTAGGAGTGTTGAAGTGGCCTCTGGGGCTGCGCAGAGCCACCAACCTCCCTGCCTGGGCCAGTGCCCAGAGGGTCGTGGGGAGCCCGGCTGTGTGTGTGTTTTCTCTGTTTAAGATTCGGAGCTGGCTGGCGTGCACGCCTGGAGGAAGGGACAAGCTCTAGTGAGGTCCCTGCTTGGGCCCCCTCCCGCCCTCCGCGGGTTCCAGAGCAAGGCCCCCTGCAGACACCCGGCTCTCGCCTCGGACTTAGGTACCTGTGCCTCTGCCACGGGCTCTGCCCTGCTCTGCTGTGGCATCTGGGGGGCGGGGAAGGGGAGGAGATGCCCAGGCTCCAGGTGGTCTGGAAGCAAGGGGTGTCGGTGCCTCTCACGGCAGCCTGCAAACACCCTCCAAACCCGCCATCCACACTGGACTTCGGGCAATATGTGTTTTCAAAGCCTGAGAACAGGGTTTCTGCCCCTGGGAGGCTCCCTTGCCAGCTCCCAGCGCAGGCACGCTGCCAAGGCCTTCTCTCGGCAGAAAGGCAGGTTGGGAGCTGGCAGGGGCTCCCCAGACACAGGCACCCTCCACCCGTGCTCAGCTAGCATGTGCAGAGTGGCAGCTCATCACACAGGTGCAGTGCCCACCCTCAGAGGGCTTCTGCCTATGAGGATGGGCGCAGTGGCCAGGGGGTAACTGGAAGGGGCAGGGGCCCGAGGGCCTCCCTGACGTCCCCACGCTCCTCACCTCCGGCCCGGTGGAGGAGCCGGCCTTGCTCTCCCCTCCTCGCCCCTGACGCTCCTGTCTTTGCAGGGGGCAGCAGGAAAGTCACAGCTACCAAGCGCTCGCCTGTCTGTGCCCGGTGGCCGAGTGCCACCTCCGCCCACAGTGACCAGCAGGCGTCCGGGAACACACCCAGCCTGGCTTCCTTTGACCAGCCGGCGACCATCCAGACGGCCATGGCCATCCTACGAGACCTGCGCCAGCAAATCCAGGCTGGGCTGGAGCTGGCCCAGAGCCGGGAGGGGGGCCGGGAGCTCGGGCCGTCAAAGCGGAGGCTGCAGGACGTGGCAGGAAAGGGCCCCCGCAGGGACCCGGGAGCACACAGCTCCTCCTTTAAGAGTCCCTGGGCCGGGACGGAGGGGAAGCGTTCCTCTTTAGAGAGGGCTAGGAGTTTCCACTCCTGGCAGCCCCGGAGCCTCTCCCCTGAATGGGAGTCCTGCCTGCAGGGGGCCTGGGGGGTCCCAAAACAGGACCACTCCTTCCAGAGGCCAGAGAGTCCCCGTGAGAGGTTGGGCCGCTTCTCCCGGCGGCCCTGGAGTACGTTGGCAGGGCAGGCCTGCAGTCCACAGAGGGCCTGGGGGGCCCAAAGACAGGGCCGCGCCTCCCAGAGGCCCGGGAGCCCCCCTGAAAAGCTGAGCGCCTCCCCCCGGCAGCGCTGGAGTGCTGTGGCCATGCAGCCCTGTCCTCGGAGGGCCTGGACTGCTTGTGAAGACCCGGAGGCCCCGGTCCCCAGTCCATGGAACCCTCTGGAAAGGCCCAGTCCTCCAGCCCAGCGCCCCTGGAGCAGCTCCTGCGTGCAGAGGGCCGGCCCCCTGGCCCAGGGCAGACGCATTGGCTCCCCTGTCTCAGGTGCCAAGCATGCCCTGCCAAGGCCCACAGGGAGCTTCCCTCAGAGCCCATCTGGGAAGGAGAAGGACGCGCTGCGGCCCTGCCCCAGGCCCCGGGGGCTCCCAGGACACAGCCCCGAGTCCCTGCGGGAGTTCATGCGCCAGAAGGCGAAGGCGCGGCGGCGCCAGGCCCTGGAGGAGAAGGCGGCGGCCCTGCGCGCCCGGGAGCTGAGGAGCCGGAGGCTGCAGGAGGTCTACAGGCAGCAGAGGGAGGCCGTCCTCCGCACCGCGGTCCCCGTGGTCTCCCAGACCACCCCTGGCATCGTGACCTTTGTCCCCAGTTCCGCACAGTCTGGGGTACGTGCCGAGGGCGGGTTTCGGGGACTCAGCTCAGCCAGGGGCTAGAGGCTCAGGCGTTCAGGTGCTGCCCCCAGCCCCCGGTGCCCTCCGGGGAGTGGGCGGGTGAGGGCTGCAGCCGGGGCCTCGGGGCTGTGTGGCGTTGCTGACACTGCCTGTAGAAAGGGAGGGCATCCGTGGATGATCCCCTGGAGGCCCTGATGAGGCACAGGGTCAGACCCGGGTGCCTTTGCCCCGGGTGCGATGGGGCTCCTGGGGGATGGACTCCCTTACCTGTCACAGCTCCTGAAGTGGGAGCCCCGATTCCTGCAGGGCTCTGGGGAGGCAGCCTGGGTCCCCCAAAGGAGGCCAGGGCCCAGCTCTGAGGCTGAGGCTGGGGCATGTGGTCTTTCTGCCGGGGGCTCTGATGGCACTGCCCCCTACGCTAGGATCTGGAAGCCTCCGGGAGCCTGGAGTCGCCCGTGCTGGAGTGGAGCAAGGTGACCTCTGGCGTGGTGCTGGGGGGCCAGGAAGCCCCAGGCAGGTGGGAGCAAAAGTGCAGGCACTTCGTGTGCTGGGTAGGGCCGTGGGGGCTGGGCCGGGCGGAGGACAGTTCTGGGTGTATTCTGGGGCCTCGATTCATTGCCTCATGACCAAGATGCTCCTCAGGTTGGGTGGGCTCTGCCGACTCCCACCCACAGTGCCACCCAGCTGCTTGGAGCAGGTTCTCATTGAGGCCAGGGTCACGTCAAACTTCAATCCACCATGATAAGTGCACATTCCGTGGCATTTAACACCCTCACCGTGTGTGTGCAACCACCACTTCCACTGAGTTCCAGAACATTCCATCCCCCATGAGCCCCCACCCTCAGGAGGCAGCCCCTCCCCCAGCCCCTGGGGTCACCAGTCTCCTTTCTGCCTTGATGGAGTTACCTGTTCTTTTTTTTTTTTTTTTTTGAGATGGAGTTTTGCTCTTTTGCCCAGGCTGGAGTGCAATGACGCAATCTTGGCTCACTGCAACCTCCACCTCCCAGGTTCAAGCGATTCTCCTGCCTCAGTCTCCTGAGTAGCTTGGATTATAGGTGTGTGCCATCATGCCCGGCTAAATATTGTATTTTTAGTAGAGATGAGGTTTCACCATGTTGGCCGGGCTGGTCTCGAACTCCCAACCTCAGGTGATCCGCCCGCCTCAGCCTCCCAAAGTGCTGGGATGACAGGTGTGAGCCACTGCCCCCCGCCCGGATTTGCCTATTCTTGACACTTTATCTAAATGGGATCACGGCTCAGGTCTGGCTTCTCTCGCCGAGCACGAGGTTTCCCAGGCTCATCCGTGTTGCCGCTGGAGCTCATTGAGTCAGTGGCTGAATAATGCCCACTGTGGGCAGGTGACCTTGTCTTCACAGCCTCGTGGCTGACAGGTGCCTGGCTGCCCCACCCGTGGCTGCTGTGAACCGGGCACACGCACCTCCTTCAGCCGCTGCTGCGCTGTTTCTTGGGTCCATGCCTGGGAGTGAGTGGCACTGGCACGGGCACCTCTGTGTACAGCTTTCTCGGAGACTGGCACCCTGTTCTCCACAGTAGCCGCCCGGGTTCCTGACCCCGACAGCACCAGGGGTCCCGTTCTCCCCACTTCCTTGCTGCGCTGATTTTTCGGTTCTTTTCTGTGTTTCTGTTTTGCTTTTACTGCCGTGTATTTTAATTTCTGGAGGCCCCTTCCCGGGGACATCGTGAATCACACACGTGGGGTCTGAAGACCACCCCCCATTTGCTTGTGGGAGTTGAGCCTGGGTCTCACTGCAGGTGCCGAGTTTCCAGCCTGTCTCTCGCCCAGGAAGGGCTGTGGATAGCCCCAGCTTCAGGCCCGTGGCAAACACTCTCTGGCCTGGCCTCACGCTGGGCACCTGTAAGGAACTCACGGCCAGGCGTCCTGCATGCCCTTGGTTCTGGTGGGCAGGGGGAGCTGGCTCAGAGGCCGGGAAGGGGGCTCCTACCTGCCAGGAACGCCCCACCCTGAACTCCCTCAGGGCTGCCGGTGGCGCAGCTTTGGCAGCTGGTGTTGGGGGCTCAGGCTGGCCCCGGGAGCTCAGCTCCCACCCTCTCTGCAAGACCCGACCTCTCTCTCTGGCTGCTTTTGGGTCCATTTGGTCTTGAAAACGCTTGTTTTGGGATCAGTCCCCGAGAGTCTGGGTCAGCCCAGGGGTGGCTCCTGTCAATGTCTAGTGAGATGAGGCCACAGGGCCTGAGTGTGCCACCAAGTGAGCGTCCCACGCTGGCCCTGCTGTACCATGCCCACCCCAGGGGCAGCCCCTCCCCTGCTGCCCACAGTCGGGCTCTGTTTGCACGACAGGACGCTGGTGAGCTCGGGCCTGGCATCTTGAGCGGCTGCAGGGCCTCATCGCTCTTCATCGCGGCCTTATCTTTTTTTTTTTCCACCTAAAACATTGTAGCCGGGCGCGGCGGCTCACACCTGTAATCCCAGCACTTTGCGAGGCTAAGGCGGGAGGATCACCTGGGGCCAGGAGTTTGAGACCAGCCTGGACAACACAGTGAGACCTCATCTGTATTCTCTCCAGAACTCTTCATCTTCCCAAACTGACACTCTATCCATAAAACGCTAACTCTCCATCTCCTCCCAGCCCTTGGCAGCCGCCATTCTCCTTCTTGTCTCGATGGACTTGCCTGTCCCAGGGCCCCCACGGGAGTGGGAACACACCGTGTTTGTTCTTTTCATTACTGAAACACCAGGGGTTTGGTCTCAGTCCTGCTCCTGCCACACAGAAGGCCCATCGCAGAGACAATGAGCACTGCCGGGGAAGAGGCTCAATTGGGTGCTGCAGCCAAGGAGATGGGGGCTCAGTCTCAGATCCAACTCCCTGACTAAAGGTGGGGCTTGCCTCTCAGGGAAGGAATGTAGTTCCATGCGGAAACAGGAACTAGGGAGGGGTAAGGAAGCAGGCAGGACCAACGAGGGCTCTGGTGTCTCCTTGTCCAGATGCGGTGATCTGGTGCATTTCAGCTCCTTGACTCTGTCTGGGAGGCCTGATGGTAGCTTTCCTGAGAAAGGAACTCAGATAAGACAAAACTTTCTCATGTGTTAAGACTGGCAGGGCTCATTTCTATGTTTATTCAAAAGAAACCATGAACACGAGTTCCAGGGGACCGTTGGGCCAGCTTCACTTTGTGCCTGACTCATTCTGCCAAGGGCAACGTCGTCACCTGTGTCGGGCCTGCTTTCCTTTTCAAGGGTGAATACTATTCCCCCATCAGTGGACCTCATTTCGCTTCTCCATTTGTCCCTGCATGGACACTGGTGGCTTCCACCTTTTGGCTGTTGTGAGTAAAGCTGATGTGAACATGGGTGTGCAAGTATCTCTTTGAGACTCGGACTTCAGCTCTTCTGGGTACATGGCCAGAGGTGGAAGTGCCAGACCCATGGGGGTTCTGTGTTCGACTTCTTTTTTTTTTGAGATGGAGTCTTGCTCTGTTGCCCCGGCTGGAGTGCAGTTGTGTGATCTTGGTTCACTGCAACCCTCGCCTCCTGGGTTCAAGCGATTCTCCTACCTCAGCCTCCCAAGTAGCTGGGACTACAGGCGCCTGATGCTGTGCCCAGCTAATTTTTTGTGTTTTTAGTAGAGATGTGGTTTCACTGCATTAGCCAGGATGGTCTCGATCTCCTGACCTTGTGATCCGCCCACCTCAGCATCCCAAAGTGCTGGGATTACAGGCGTGAGCCACCTCGACTGGCCTTATATTTGACTTCTTGAGAAATCACCAAACTGCCGGTCACTACGGCTGCACTGTCTTACACTCCCACCAGCAGTGCTCAGGATCCAGTTCCTCTGTACCCTCGCCCACACCTGGCCCTGTTCCTTGTACCCTCGCCCACACCTGGCCCTGTTCCTTGCAGCAGCTGCATGGTTTGTTGTGTGGATGCCGTCACTGATTCCCTGGCCCCTGTGGACAGACACTGGGTCGGTCACAGATGCTGCTGCAATGCTCACCCCCAAACTCGCCTGCTTTGCGTGCCCTGCTGGGGCCAGCCTGGGCTGACCTGTCCATGCCTCTCTCTGCAGCTTCTGCCTGTGTTTGAACAGAGCCTGGAACCGTGCTGAGACCCTAGAGCCCCCAGGGACAGGGGGCCCCCAAGATGGCCGGGATGCCCCCACACTGCTGTTAGCCTCACCCTCACTGGGATCCCTGGAGCCCCAGGACCTGACTGCCCGCTACCTACCCCGGGGGCTGTGCATCTACCTGGACCCAAAGGAGGCCGAGCACCTGGGCACTTCCAGCCCCCTGCACCTCCAGCATAAGCAGGCGCGGCTGCAGGCGCTAGAGACCACAGCCAGAGTCCTCAAGCAGCGGGTTGACAGCCTCACCGCCAAGCTGCAGGGTGCCGAGGCACCGGACACCATCGGGGACCCAGCCTTGGGCCTGCCATGCTCACGGCCCCACACCCCGCCTGCTGCCCCCACGCTTGCCGCCCCAGCTTGCCCTGGAGGCTTGAGGCCCAACGGGGGCAGAGGGGCGCCCAGGGACTGGGCCAGCGTGCAGCCCCAGCCCCTTCTCCCCGCCACCTGCTTCCTGGATGGCAAGACACTGCCGTGGGGCCCCAGCTGGGAGCAACAGCAGAGCATGAGCCTGAGGGCCCACCACGAGAGCAAGCCCCGAGGTAGGCCAGCACCTGGGCCATGGTGACCGCTGGGTGGTCAGGGGTTCCTGTGGGCTGGGAGGAATGGGGGCCCCATTTTCTCCCTGAGCCTTGGTTTTCTTCCTGGAAGTGGGGATAGGAGGACAACAGTCAGGGGTTGTCCAGGGAATCTGAGCAGCACAGTGTGCCTGGGCCCTCCCACATGGCATGCATGGGCTCTCTCCCGTGGCGTGGGGTCTCTCCCGTGTCGCGTGGTGTGCGTGGGCTCTCTCCCGTGTCGCGTGGTGTGCGTGGGCTCTCTCCCGTGTCGCGTGCTGTGCGTGGGCTCTCTCCCGTGGCGCGTGCTGTGCGTGGGCTCTCTCCCGTGG